TAATATTTTGTAGTGTAAATTAATTTCAATTATAAAATATTTTTTATTATATTAATTATTAAATTTTTATTTAAAATTTATATTTAAAAAATCAATAATATTAAATTAAAACAACAAAAAAAATTCAATGGAGAACATGACGCATTTCAACTCTCCTTCGTAAGCCTCTTTTAATTATGAAACTCTAAGTAAAACCTATTACCAATTTTATTTTATTTTCTGTTTGAAAACAATAATTACATCAATAATTTTAATTTCCATTCCTAGGGGTAGGAAAATTATTATCCCTAGGACTCAAACATTGTATCAGTATTTCTAAGGATGCCATCACTCTGCTTCTCAAAAGCGAAGCATTGGCACAGGGGCACCGGGTGAATGATTCTTTACCAATTTATTGTTTTTTGTTTTTTTGTTTTTATTTTTTTATTTTTTTTTAATTTTTGTATATGGGAAACAGACTGCTACCAATTAAACTATTGATTATTGGTACATGATGATTACGTTAATTAATGGACATGAATAACCTCTGTTAATTAATTAAAGTGGTCCAATGGGCGGGCAAAAGCCTGTTTTGAGTCCTTCATCTTATCAAATTTGAAGGTTTTAGCCCTATATTTTATATTATGATACTTTTAACCTTTTATCTTATTAAATTTGTAAATTTTAACTCTTCACCTTATATTATAACACTTTTAACCCCTCATTTATTAAAATTAAAGAAAATAATCCTCATTTTGTAACATATTATTAGTTGTATTAGTTGACTGTTAACTCTATCAGCTGATTGTTAGTTGACTATTAACTGAAAAAATTTTTTTTTTCAACTAATAGAATTAACAAAACTAATTTTATAGTATTTCGTTAATTTTGTTAACTGGTTATTAGTTGATTGTTAATTGACAAAAATCTATTTTCAGCTAACAAAATTAACAGTCAGTATAAAATGAATGTTATTTTCTTTAATTTTAATAAGTGAAGAGTTAAAACCTATTAATCTGATAAGGTGAAGGGTTAAAAATATCATAATATAAGGTAAGGGACTAAAACCTTTAAACTTGATAAGGTGAGGGGTTCAAAGTAAATTTTTGTCCAATTCGAGATAAGTAATGGTCAAGTAGGGTGCCGCGTCATGGTCAACGTCAGTAGGCGGGGGTTGGTGAGTGGCCCAATGGAGGACGCCCCCTTCATCTTTCCTACTTATATACCGCTCTCACCCAGAAACCATTCCACCCCCAAACCATTCCACCCCCAACGCACTTCCACCAACTCCACCCCAACAAATCCCTTACTTATCAAATCCCACCTCTAATTCTAATCCCTCTCTCCTTTCTTACTTCGCCTCTCCGCAACATTTTCCTCCGCCGCTTCCATTTCCATTTTCCAGGTCTGTTGGGTTTCTTTTTCTTTGCACTTTACTCTTTAAAATTACAATAAATACAAAAAAAATAAAAAATGTTGAATATATTCTCGTCTAATGTCAAAAAGAACCTTATCAGTATATTGAAATTGGAAAAAAAATGAGGATATTTTTTACTTTTGCTGACTAGTCTGGAACATTTTCCCAGAGAAAATAAGACAATTTTTGTTTATTTATTTATTTTTGGTTGTGGTTGGTGGGCGACAATTTTTTTTTTTTTTTTAATTTTTACGTGTGTTGACCTTGTCCTGGCTGCTATGTTCGCAGGATTCTGGTGGACTGCAGTCACCGGCGGATTTAGATTTCAATATGATTATCACTGTGAAACAATCGACGATGGTGCGGCCGGCCGGTGAGACGCCGATTGGCAGCCTGTGGAATGCGAATGTCGACCTGGTGGTGCCGAGGTTCCACACCCCGAGTGTTTACTTCTACAGGCCGACCGGAGCACCCAACTTCTTCGATCCGCAGGTCCTTAAGGAGGCCCTCAGCAAGGCGCTGGTGTCGTTCTACCCGATGGCGGGACGGTTAAAGAGGGACGAGGATGGTAGAATCGAGATTGATTGTAATGCTGAGGGTGTTCTTTTCGTTGAGGCCGAGACTGGTACTGTTGTTGATGATTTTGGTGATTTTGCGCCCACTTTGGAGCTCAAAAAGCTTGTCCCCACCGTGGATTATTCCGGGGGAATGGGTTCGTTTCCCCTCTTAGTGTTGCAGGTATGTTTCTGCTGTTTGACCTGCTCATTTCAATTCTTTTTCCCGCGTTCTTGTGTTATGAAATGTTTGTTTTGTTAATCTTTTTGATGTATTAGGAATTATTGGTTTGTTGGTGTGGGATGTTTTATTGATCTTTAAGTTGCAGAATAGAAGGCTAACCATCTTGCATCCCTTAACCATCCCCATCACATGACATGTGACTTGAACTCAAAAGCTTTTACTTTTATTAGAAAGAGATTAGTTGGCCGTTTGTGTGGGGTTTTTTTCACTATATCTGTTGACAACTTTTGAAATAATTAAGCATGTGTTGTGGTTTTTGTGGATTAATTAAGCATTTATAACTTCATAATTTGAAAATCATCTATAAGTGTTAAGATCACATGGGGTGTAAATTATGATACCATTAAATTTCTATCCAGAAGGGTCTTCATTTTCAATTAGACGTTGCTATACACGGTGAGACCCTAAGGTAGATGTTTTAACGGTGGGAATTGGTGTATTTGTTGGTTTGATGCAAAGTAATATGCTATAGGTTTAAAGTGAGGTTGTCTTACTGAATTAGGGGTTGTGTCATTGGATTTTGATCTAGCATGGAAGGTTTGAAGCATGCCACTTGAGTAGTATATATGCTTTCTAAAGGGAAGCCCTCCACTAAATGCACTGGTAGAAGCTGTTGAGGATAAATTTTGTGCTAGTATTCAATTGAGTTTTTACAGAATGTGAAATAATTTGATAGAATCAGAGGCTTAAAATCCAACATTATTGCAATAGTCTAAATCAAGTTATCTATAATGGTTAGAAATGAGCTAATAGTTTTGAAGCTGGGAGCCCTTATTTCTTTGCATAAAGGAAAAATGATGACATACATGGGTATTCTTCTTATCAGCAGGACCATAATTTGTTTTCTAGCTTCTATCTTGGTCTATGTAAAGTGATTTTTCATCAATTTAGGGTCAGAACAAAACTCAAGTCATCCTTGTGGCTTTCAGAATTATACAGTGATTTACAAACAATAAGAAGAGCTTGTTCGTTGATTTGTCTGAACTTTAAGCAAAAGTTTATTTGTTTTGTTTTTCATTTAGGATATTTCATATTTGTAATGTTTTCTGGATAAACTTGTTAAGGCTCATTGCCGGCTATTGAATTCATGGATTTTATTATACCTAACTTTGGTTTTAATGTTGTGTAGGTCACATACTTCAAATGTGGTGGAGTATCACTAGGTGTCGGCATGCAACACCATGTGGCAGATGGATTTTCTGGCCTCCACTTTGTGAATGCATGGTCAGATATGGCTCGTGGTCTTGATCTCACCATTCCACCATTCATTGACCGGACTCTTCTCCGTGCTCGGGACCCACCTCAACCTGCATTCCACCACGTCGAGTACCAACCTCCTCCTGCCATGAGAACCCCTGTTCCACCTGCAGGCCCCGAAAACACCATGGTCTCCATCTTCAAATTGACTCGAGATCAGCTCAACATTCTAAAGGCCAAGTCCAAGGAAGGCGGAAACACTGTTACATATAGCTCATATGAGATGTTGGCAGGGCATGTTTGGAGATCTGTGTGCAAGGCACGTGGGCTTGAGGATGATCAAGAGAGCAAACTGTACATTGCCACTGATGGGAGGTCAAGATTGCAACCCCAACTTCCACCTGGCTACTTTGGCAATGTGATCTTTACAGCTACCCCACTTGCAGTGGCAGGTGATCTACACTCCAAGCCAACATGGTATGGTGCCAGCCGAATCCATGATGCATTGGCTCGGATGGATAATGATTATTTAAGGTCAGCCCTGGATTACCTAGAGCTTCAGCCAGATTTATCAGCCCTTGTTCGTGGGGCACACACTTTTAGGTGTCCAAACCTAGGGATTACTAGCTGGGTTAGATTGCCGATCCATGATGCAGATTTTGGTTGGGGGCGTCCCATATTTATGGGTCCTGGTGGCATCCCTTATGAAGGTCTATCTTTCGTATTACCAAGTCCAACCAATGATGGAAGCCTATCAGTCGCCATTGCACTACAAACCGAACACATGAAACTCTTTGAGAAGATTTTCTATGACATCTAAATACTGGAAGGAACTACACAGGAAGTCACCAGGTCCGAGCCGGTCAATTGCAGAAGTTCTAGTAATCTCTAATTGATGGATGAATATGTTTTTTTTGTTTTCTTCCCAATTTTTTTATTTGCAGACATTCTGGTGGAAATCCACGTGTTAATTTAAAACGCACATCAAATTTGAACTTCTATATGACATGCTATGTTCTCCAGCACATAGTCGACTTTGTAGAATAGTGTGAAAATAGGTGAAGTAGACATTGGGTTTTGAACTCAAGATTTGATAAACACTATTAGTAGACAATCCTCGTACAATTATGCTCCTAGTTAGCAAATACAGTGTATTTTGCAGCATTAACAACATATCTGGACAAAACCAAACTACTTAGCCATGAGCTTAAGATCAAGAGTCTTGTGTTCTTTGTTTTATCTTTTCAATTCTTTTTCACAGTATTGTGGAAGACCTGATTTCAGTTTTATGCTTCATAAGCCATAGAAAAAGCCTAAACTAGCCTGAGAAAGAAGGGTGGGAGGATGAGCATCAAGAGCAATCTTGCAGCAGATACAGAGAGATCAGGCCTTACTAAAGAAGCAGCCGCACTCCTCTTGCGACGGCGACCGTGAGCAGTATTTGCACCACCAAAACCTCCCTTTCCTCTCCGTCTCCTTCCAATTGGCTGTAACACATCATTCTTCTTCGCATTCACTTTTGCACCACCTTCTGCGGCCAAATCAATTCTCTTGCTTAGACCTGCACGTCACCACCCAAATTACAACATCAATGACTTGAGGAGTCATTAAAAATTGAAAAAGACCAAGAAATTCCTACCTTGGATCTCTTTTCCTCGAAAAATAGCCGTGGAAAAGTTGAAATTTTCATATTCTATTGCAGGATATGTTTCAATCCCCAAGCATACAAAGCCATTAGCCCATATGAAAAATAACAACCATGGAAGAAATCTTAGCTTCATTTTGATGTTAAAATCTGAAAGGCAGGAGGGAGATTACTATAGAAAGACGGATGGAAATGAATGATAAGAGAGTGGTGTGGGAATAATAATAACATTATGTTCAAGAATCAAGATTAAAATGCTAAAAAGAATGACCCTATTTTATTTTATTTTCTGAATGTAGACCCAATTGTACTTCCAGAGAGAGGGCAAGATATTAAGAAGTAAGGATGTGCCAATACACAATAATAACATGCCCTTCTCCGTCAATGCCTTGCTAGGTTGATATTAACATCTCCTTGGTGGATTCTACAACCAAGTCATTAATTTGCAGTATGTTAAATGAAAATGAAAATGACAATAACTGTGATTATTTTTCAAGTAAATTCTTAACGAAATGAAATGAATTTTATTTTTATTTGATTTATAAGTCCACTTTTTTTTTTTTTCCCTAACATGCTTGCTAATAGTTATAGCTAAAATAATCAAACAATTCATAAAATGGTTTGAGAAGTAGGATCATATTCTTTTCTTCTCAATATTGTTTTGAATAAAGAAAGAGTTATTTCTAATTAGTAGTGTTACCTTGATCCACAAAAAAAAAAAAAGGGTACAGGAAAAACTAAAATTTAAGCTACTTGTTTCACCTAGATAATCATACTTTTAAACCGTCCCCAACTTGATGGAAATCCCATATCACTACAGGCATCTTATCTAAAAAAGAAGATGCTAGCGCAAGAATAAAGTGTTCCAATGTATAAGGATGACTCAGTGCTAGTTGAACAAAAGTTGCAATGGAATAAGATGCCTACTTTTCTAGAGGTGTGTTGTTTAGCTCAAATGGCATCTTTCATGCTTGTCATACATGGAAGCATAGATTTGAGCATAGATTTGTTATCATTATTAAATTATTAAAATATTACAAATTATGATGTAATTAAATTATAAAAAATTATATTTTAATTGGTAATTATATAATTATATTAAATATTAAGTGTTTTTCGTAAAAATCATAGTTAAAAAATTTTAAAATAAAACTTTTATTTATATATATAAAATTATTGTAAATCTGAAGTGAATTTATGTAATTTTTTAAAAAATTACTGAACACATATATTTATATATATAAAAGTATTAATTCCCAACCACAATCCCGAACTCACCCTTTTGCCACATTGATTGCCCTAGGAGAAAAATGAAGATCAAGCAATTATTTTATTTTGATTCAGAGAACACTTTTACAACATACAGTAGATTGTCATAAGATTCCTAAGCTATGAGAACATTATTTTAGAAAGCCACTCAACCACAAGAGCAAAATTAAAAATGCTCACAAACAGAGCATACTGGTTTTACCCCCTTTCAAGCTTTAGTCAACCTCTTCAATCTTAGGCCCAGCTCCACTGGAACCGCCAGGGCTAGCATTACCATACCCACGTCGAGGTATGTCAGGGCCACTGCCCATTGGAACATCCCCTCCAGCACCTTGGTACATCTTCGAGATAATTGGCTTGCAAATGCCCTCCAAATCCTTCAATTTGTCTTCAAATTCATCAACTTCTGCCAATTGGTTCCTCTCAAGCCACTCAAGTGTCTCTTCTATAGCCTTCTCCATCTTCTGCTTGTCTGCTGGATTCAGTTTCCCAGCAAACTTTTCGTCCCTCACAGTATTCTTCATGTTGTATGCATAGTTCTCCAACGAGTTCTTTGCATCAACCTTCTTCTTCACCTGATCATCCTCCAGTTTATACCTCTCTGCCTCTTGTACCATCCTCTCAATCTCTTCCTTGCTCAACCTTCCTTTGTCATTGGTGATTGTTATCTGGTTCTTGACGCCGGCAGTCTTATCCTCCGCAGAGACGTTCAGGATACCATTTGCGTCAATGTCAAAGCAGACATTGATCTGCGGCACTCCTCTTGGTGCCGGTGGGATGCCCTTAAGCTCAAATGTACCAAGCAGGTTGTTGTCCCTTGTTCTAGCCCTCTCTCCTTCATAAACTTGGATCAGCACACTCGTCTGATTATCAGAATAAGTCGAGAAAACCTGTTCTTTCTTGGTGGGAATAGTGGTGTTCCTCGGAATCAAGACCGTCATCACACCGCCGGCAGTTTCAAGACCAAGACTCAGAGGAGTAACATCAAGGAGAAGCAGATCCTGGACCTTTTCATTCCCTTCACCGCTGAGAATCGCAGCCTGAACCGCGGCTCCATAAGCAACCGCCTCATCTGGGTTTATGCTTTTGCATAGTTCCTTCCCGTTGAAGAAATCCTGCAATAGTTGCTGTACTTTTGGAATTCTCGTCGACCCACCAACAAGAACAACATCATGAACTTGACCCTTGTCAATCTTGGAATCACGGAGACATTTCTCCACGGGTTCCATACACTTCCTGAACAAATCCATGTTCAATTCTTCGAATCTCGCTCTGGTGATGGTAGCATAGAAATCAATACCTTCATAGAGAGAATCGACCTCGATCGTCGTCTGGGTCGTCGAAGACAGAGTCCTCTTCGCCCTCTCGCACACCGTCCGCAGCCTTCTTAGAGCCCTCGCGTTGGTGCTGAGATCCTTCTTGTGCTTCCTCTTGAACTCCTGAACGAAATGAGTCACCAGCCTGTTGTCGAAATCCTCACCCCCGAGATGGGTATCTCCGGCGGTGGCCTTAACCTCGAACATTCCCTCCTCAATCGTCAATAGGGACACATCGAAAGTTCCCCCACCGAGATCGAAAATAAGCACGTTCTTCTCGCCACTCCTCGACCCCTTCTTATCCAATCCGTACGCAATTGCAGCTGCCGTCGGTTCATTGATGATCCTCAACACATTAAGTCCGGCAATCGCACCGGCATCCTTCGTCGCCTGCCTCTGGGAATCATTAAAATACGCCGGAACAGTAATCACTGCGTTCTTCACAGTATGACCCAGATAAGTCTCGGCGATCTCCTTCATCTTGGTGAGCACCATCGAAGATATCTCCTCCGGCGCGAACATTTTCTCTTCACCCTTGTAACTAACCACAATCATAGGCTTGTCTCCGGGCCCTGCAACGACCTTGAACGGCCAGTGCTTCATGTCGCTCTGTACCGTGGGGTCAGAGAACCTACGGCCGATGAGACGTTTAGCGTCGAAGACTGTGTTTTGCGGGTTCATGGCAACCTGATTCTTGGCTGCGTCGCCTATAAGACGCTCGGTATCAGTGAAGGCGACATATGAGGGAGTGGTTCTGTTGCCTTGATCGTTGGCTATGATCTCCACACGATCATTCTGCCACACCCCAACACAGCTGTAGGTTGTACCGAGATCAATACCAATTGCCTTGCCTCGGGATTTTGGGGCCATTGAAGGAAATCTTAATTCACCAAGAAACTGGAAAATTGCAGAATTTGATGGGATTTCAGAGATGCTTTTGCTTTTGTGATTTTCTTTTTCTCTTGAGGAGAAAGGTTGGTTCTTTATGGTATTATATATATGTATGGGAAAGTGGTAGTAGTGCGGACTACAGAGCAAAGTGAAATCGAGAAAAAAGCAGAGAAGGAAGAGGGAGATACCAGAGAGTTCTGGAGGGAGATATTCAAAATTCAGATTCGTGTTCAATAATAAGCCGTGGCTTTGATCCATCAACGAGTTCTATGGGCTTGATCTGGGATTTGACAATTTGATTTCTAGACTCATGATCCATTAACTTGTTAATGGGCTTGGACTGGGATTTGATAGAATTTTTTTTTTTTTTTGATTTTGGGATTTGAAAGAATTAATTGGTTGATGTTGTTTTGTTTCAATGGGGTATTTTCTCTTCTTTTTGTGTTTTTTTTTTCAACCGCGTATGTGATTTATGGTTTTCTAACATGTATTTTTTTTTTATAGTTATTATATCTTTTTAATATTATTTTGTAATTAGTATTAAAAAATATAAAAATTAA